GCATATCAGTGGGCCAGAATGAGAAGAGCTCGTCCATACCCTGTTCCACCTTCTTTGCCATGCCTCGATCCGGGTCATGTAATTGTTTGACGCTGAAATTAGGAACCCGGCGCTCGTCGGGAGCGCCCGAAGCGACTAGGTCAGGGAATTCGACAGTAGAGAGCGAGTTCAGGTGGAAGAAATGAACAATGAAGTTCTGCTCCTCAGAAATCATTCTCAGTGTCTCTTGGAGTGTACCTGCAAACGCTTCACAGGGCTCAAGCTTGCCGTGTTGCTTATCACTAGAGGATAGCTTGAGTCCTGCCGCCGCTCGGATGGTCTTGCCTCTTCGGACGGTGAGCTTGCGAGCAGCCATCGTAATACCTTCACTCTCCTTTTCCTTCTCTTGATGGGTGAAAAGAAGTTCCTGCTCATCCCCTGTGGGTTTTCTTGCCATCTTCTTCCAAGACAAATTATTATCTCGGAAGTCATTCTGATAAGGTGCTTTAGCCTGTTGTTCGTAGAGATTGATCAAGGCCTGCCATTCTCCCCCACTGACTTCTCTCGCAAAGAGGATCACTGCATGGTACTGCCACAACTCTCGACGACAGTACGCGCGAGCTTCGCTGTTGAGCTTAAGCGGATCCTTTTGGGCAGCGGCAGCTACAGCGTCGATCCTCTTCTGCTCTGCAATTCTGTAGGCGATCGTCATAAATTGTTTCAGTCGCTGCAAGAACACACGAGCATGGGTGCGATATTCCTCTTTCTTCTCCTGAATGGCTCGCATCTGTCCAATTTCTGTATCAGCGTAAACGCCCAGGCTGCCATGATCTCCGGCAGAGTCGGCCAGCCGTCTCTTGTTCTGCCGTATATCAGAATCAATCATCAACATCGCCTTATACAATGTTGACAGCGCGACTTCAGTATCTCGTAGACCATCCGGATTGCTGAGCGATGATTCCTTTAGCGCACGTAGATCATTAGAAGAGATAGAGAGTGTCTTCAGAAGGTTCTGTAGCTCGTTCTGGAGTAACTTCTGGTTAGCCGTCTGCACCTGCAGACCCTGCGATTGTGTTTCAATATAGGCCACATCATCGTGAAGTGTCTATAGCTCGGTTAGCATGATTTTGCGTGTCAGTCCAAAGAGATGCCCGGGGCTATCTATGACTTACGTTCAGTTCATGCGCGTACAGAGTAAGAAGGTTATCCAACTCTTCGCATTCCTCGACCGTCTTGTCAATGAGTCTGGCCAGTTGATCGATCTTCCCCTCCTGATGCTCCAGATTACCAAGCCAGCTGGTAGCCTCAACCCGCCCAATCTCACGACGAATATCCGCTTCAAGATCTTCGATACGTTTCTCATCGCTCAGCCGTCCGTTCCAGCCAAGGTCTGTTAAGATATCATCAAATTCCACACCACGCCCTACCAAAATACTGGGGTTGATCCCAAGTGACTGACAGTACTTGATTGTGTTGTCTTCGTGACGTCTACGGCGACGGTCTTGTGGTGAAGGCGACACAGACCTCGACCTCTCATCCGTGACAATTTGTACCGTGGGTCTCGATGTACTCCGCGTATCACTGGGTGCCTCAAAGGGGTCGACGACGGGCTCAAGCGGAGGAGCTTGGGTTACTTCGACCGTAGGAGGCTCCTTTACAGGAATTGTTATTGGTGGAGGCGCAGCGGGCTGTTCTTCTGTGGTTGGAGGCAAAGCAGGAGCTTCCTCTTTGTCCGGGCTGTCGGGGCCAGCTGTTGTGTTGTCGCTGTTCGTCCGAAGCAAGAACGGGGCCGGAACAACGCTCGTGATACCGTCGGGTTCATCCGTAGCTGCTTTCTGCTTTTTCGCCGCAGCAAGAAGCCTCTCGCCTGCACCTCCGGGTCTCGGCTTGAAAGCGCCGTAAGCAGTGGCGGCTTTGCGGAATGCTCCAGCAATGTCCTTGTTTTGCTTTTTCTTTACCATCGGACCAAGGCCCGGGCGATGCGTGTCAAGGTCTTCAGCTACAGCTTCAGATTCATCTGGAGAACTAGTCGGCATTGAAGGTTCCACTTCTGTAGCTGGTTCGGCAGCCTCTTGTGACTGTGGAGGTTCTGGTTGTGCTATGATCAACTCCGGTGCTGGTGCCGGTTCCGGTGCGGGTGCGGGTGCGGGTGCGGGAGCTGGAACTGGAACAGTGATAGGCTCGGGATTCTGGGGAGTCGTTGGCGTCTTATTGCCTGCTGACATGCCCGGCATCAGAGTGGACGGCAGATCTCCGACCATCGAGCTGACAGGAGCCTCCAGGTCCTGGGGCTCTATCTGTACATCTGACCTGGACGACCTTTCTGATGCTTCTCGCAGAGGTGACCGCGGTCCCGCACTGCTTGCTGGACTGTGCAAGAAAGTGCGATTTTCTCCGGAAACCGACCCGGGTGTGGTAGGTCGAAGACCATCCTTGCTGCGACTAGTGTGTAAATCATGGGTACGAAGCATAGTAGGTCTGGACTCGGGACCTGGCCTTCCATCTCGGGAGGACGGTGGCCGAACATCCAGGTTAGAGACCCCTGAGCTGATTTCGCCAATCTGAGCGGTGTGGCCATTGGACCTCTCCAGTGACCCAGTAGAAGGGGCAACCTGCAGACTTGAAGGGAAGTCCCTACTTCTAGATTCGTGCGGAGGGGGCAGCGGTGCCTTCGGGCCCCTGTGATCTGTTGCCAATCGTTCGGTCGCACGAGGGGGAGGCTGCTCACGATGGTCCGGGGGTATCGGCGGCGGGTGTGGCGGGGGACCGAGTGGTGAAAACCCGCTTTTTGCAGACTGACCAGTGGATGGCCTTGCCATCTGCTCTCGACTCTTCTGACTCCGAAGAGTGTGTTCCTCGGCCGGAGGCCGCTTGGGCCCATCGCGACTAGGGGCACGGCTTGTGTACGGAGACTGGGGTCGACTGCCCTGGGATGAAGGTGGGCGAGGGGGAGGTAAGGTCACATCAGATCGAGAAGGGCCAGGATGAGGGGCTTGAGGGCCAGGCGGTGCAGTCGGAGGGGGCCCAGCCAGCAGTTGTCGTTCACGATCGTCGAATCCGATAAGCGTAGGCACCTTGCCGCCGGTGTATTTGCGATAGATCTTGATCAAACTGCCTATGAAAAAGTCCTTCTCTTTCGAGGTCCGTGCATGCCAATAATAGGGCTTTCCCACGGTGACCACAAATCCGAGATTGAGAGCCCACTGCTTCTGCTGTTGTTCTAATGGAGTCGAGGGTACCAGGGCGTTATACGATTGAATGGCGGATAAGTCGTCCAGCATCCATGTTTTCCCAATCGAGAAAGACCCGTCGTTATTTTCCCTCGCTTTGTGCAAGCGCACTCTGCCCGATCTTCTGACTGCGACAATGATGACTCTAGGCTTTTTGTTTTCGGGCGGCGAGTTCGGGGGAGCGGGGGTAGACGGGTACGCCGCATCTTCAATGATGCGGACATGTGTTATGTAGGACTCGACCACTGGAACAGAGAAAAAGGCAATCAGTTTGGCTCAATACAATTGACCTTGAAGGGGCGGATGTCATACAGGTCCCATCACTATCTTTCTTTGAGAAGCAGCTGTGAATGATCCGCCTCTTTTCGTCCTCAAACTTCTCCGCCCTTGACAAGGAGCCATCCCCGGGCCCGGCAAATCCGCCATTGCGACCATCGCCTCCACGACGCGGATCCCTTTGAGGAGGGAAATCACTCGATGGAGGGCCCCGTGGACGATCACGGCTGCTCATATTTGTCGTTTAAGCACGGAAGCCTGGATCACTCAGGATGTGCCAGACACCAAGTGGACATTGTCGGGGAGGGCAAGGAAGACACGAGAAGGGGCGCAGCGCGACGGGGGGTGGGTGGATTAGAACAGTCCGTGGAAGGATAAAGTCACAGCAAGCCAGAGCTTGGAATAAGGCGGGCACTCTCAGTATAAAGGGGCGAGCGACATATACTCACGTTGAGAGTAATCTCGAATGCGAGAAACAACCAAAGTGGAGGAGGCGGAGAGTTGATTAGGTCATTGATCGGTGGTGAGAGAGTATGGGCGGCAGCGGAAACTAACTGAACTAACTGAACCGCAGCTGTCGCAGGCGGAGAGTCGGAGGAGCTCGTGCGCGGGCAGCGCACACTCGGCACCAGAACGAGGCTGACTCGACATGCATTAACTCGACTCATCATTTGAGGATTCGGGTCGGTTTCCAGGAACACAATATGTAAACCCGAACCCGCCTCACAACTCAGTTTGAGGGATGACAAGTTCATCTTAGTTCTGCATACACATTACGACGATGACCAAAAGTCATCGCTCGGTCTGCTCATCTATATCGAACTGTATCTAAATATGATCCAACAAGTGGAACCTTACCAGTAGAATCAGTTCTCTTGATCTTGCCCTCTTCTAATCATGTGCATTGATTGATTCCTTGACAGTTGTTCCCCACGCGTCGCGGCCAGATGTCATTGGCGAAGAGTGGAGTAGTGTTGCACAGGATGCTTTTAGACTATGAAGGAAGGGACCAATCTAGAACTTGCCCTGGATAGCATTGTTAAGTGAGCTTTCAATGCAGAGGATTGAGAGAGGTGAGGCAGTACTGATTTAGAGATGATGTCCAGATTGAGTTGCCATCACATCAATCTATGAACCCGGTGAACAAATATATTGCCGCAGTCACGCATAGCATTAAGGTAGAACTGCTTTGCTAATTGAACAAGTCTCAGATTGTGAACACACCATAATGAGCAAGCTCAGGACGCGGGGTTTCCAGCTGTTATTTGGCTGTTCATCATGGGCTACTGACTAAGATGAATGATGCATTTCATCGGTCAATCCAGATTGATGTCCAAGTTACAGTACCGGTCAAGTCACGTGACTACCACTCAAGCCTCAGTCACGGGATGCCACGTGAAAGCACAACTTTGACCAACTGTCCAGTCAAAGCGTGACAAACCACTGACCGCCTTCTCCCGGACCGCCGTCCCTTTTTCCCTTCTAAACTTTTTTTTTTCTGTCAGTCCGATAAAGGAAAGATCGAAAACATCCAGTCACTGCCCGAGAGTCTTTGTCTTTCGCTCAAGCCTCAGATTTCCTGCACCAGAGCGCTACAATGGCCGGCAAGAAGGCTCAGAAATCCACTCCCACCAAGATGTCTAAGGACAAGAAGACGGTAAGCAAAAATTGACTCATTTTCGAGATCGGTTAGAATGCGCCGGGCGGGTATACTCACAAATTCTTTACATCACAGGCTCCTGCCCCTCCTGCGCCCCTCGTCGCCGCAATTTCCTCCTTTTTGTCCGAGAATGGACTGTCGAAGACCCACGAGGCTCTGGCCAAAGAGTTGAGCAGCAAGTCCATCAGTGCCGATACCAAGAACGTGCCTTCTTTGTTGGAGCTTTTCAAGACCTGGGAGCAGTCCCAGTCTTCCAAGTCCGACAGCTCGGATGAGTCTAGCTCCTCTTCTTCAGACAGCGACAGCAGCTCGGACGACTCCAGTGATTCCGATGTTGAGATGGATGATGCCCCGAAGACGCAGAAGAAGCAGTCCAGAAGCTCTTCACCCTCTTCTTCTTCTTCTTCTTCTTCTTCTTCCTCGTCCGATTCCGACAGCGATGCGGATGACGAGAAGGAGGAAGGGGTTGCTGCTGCCCCTGCCTCCAAGTCCCAAGGCACCAAGCGCAAGGCCGAATCTAGCTCTTCCGAATCCGAGTCTGAGTCCGAGGCGGAGGAGGCTCCCAAGTCCAAGAAGACCAAGCTCTCTTCTGCTGAGGCCTCATCCTCCTCCGATTCCGAGTCTGATTCTTCTGACTCATCTTCTTCCGAGTCTGAGTCGTCATCTTCCAGCGAAGACGAAAGTTCTTCCGAGTCGAGCTCCGAGTCTGAATCCGAGTCCGACTCTGATTCCTCCAGTGATGAGGAGGAGACGGCCAAGCCTGAAATGAAGAAGAAGACCACCTCGGCCTCTAGCTCTTCTTCCTCCGATTCTGAATCCTCTTCCGAAGAAGAGAGCGGGAAAGCCACTCCTAACTCCGAGAGTAGCGAGACCGTCGAGAACTCCGAATCTGACTCGAAGAAGGCGGCACCCGTTGCTAAAGTGAGCCAGACTCCCTCTGCCAGCGCCAGCCCTGCCCCTGGCAACGACTATCCTAAGAAAAAGCACACCGGTGCCCGCCCCACGCCCTTGGCTCTCCTTAGCGAGCAGCCTTACGACCACCACCCGTCTAACGAGTACATCCCCTACGCGTACGCCGAGAAGGCCTGGGCGGATCTGTCCGTCACCCGCGGCAAGGGTTTCACGAAGGAGAAGAACAAGAAGAAGCGTGGATCTTACCGTGGCGGTCCCATTGACATCTCTGGCGGCAAGTCATTCAAGTTCGATGACTAGACGATGCGTTTCAGTCGTCAAGTCCCCCATTCTGTTCGCTTTTTTTCCGCCATCGATTTGGTCGAGGGGTTTTATGATCAACTTGGTCTAGCTTTCCATGTGCACTGGCCTACATCGCAGAATCTGCTGGACTTGGTCAACGTCAACCGATCCCAGGGAGAAAAAAAGCCATTCTTTGTCACATTATTAGATAATCAGATCTAGATGCTTTTTTTTTTTAGATCATGGGGTCCCTCAAAACTGTTTGCTTCTTGCAGCAAGGCGCTAATGGAGCCGGGTCGGAATTTTGCTTTTTTCTTATTGCTTTTTTCTCAATCAACGTCATTTCTGATTGCCTTTTTCCCCCCCAAATGTATCTGAAACCGTCTTCTGCTGATTTTTCAGCAACCAAAAGAACGAACTTGGTCAACGTCTACCTACAATATTTATGATGGATTGTTCTTTCCAACTTCCCGAGCTCATCCAGTCTATCCATGTAGTTCTTGCTGTTTGACTGTACAGCAAGCGAAACAAACAAAAGGAAAGTTTACCTTTTACCTGAGGTGTATGTAATCCTGTTACCAGAGTCCCCTCTCCCCAACCGGAAACTCAATCCGCATGACGCGCATTCAAGAGCCCTGCTGAACCCCACTCCTCCTCGGATCATACAGCCCGTCGCCAGGAGCTAAAATCTCTCAATTGCGTCCACCGACGATCCCAGCCGGTCGCAAGCTCATCCTCGACGTCCTCGTCCGTGACCGCGTCGAACGGCTGTTGCGTCCGCAGCCGGACTACCGCGGTGCTGTTCGCGGGATCGGGCCGCTCGTACCCCGATAGATCGAGGATGCGGTCCGCGGCGTGATGACGACGACGATGATGACGCGTGGGTTGGGTCGTTGAGGACGAGGACAGGTTGAGGGAGAGCGGGCCCGCGAACCAGGCGCAGTCCGCGCCGGTGGTGAGGTCGTCGGTCGCGACGAAGTCCAGGCGCATCACGCCGTCGGCGACGCCGGTGTAGATGGTCGGGGAACTGGGGAAGGGGGAGCTCATGGTGTAGATGGCGCCGCGGTAGGGGCGGTGGTGCTGGCTGCGGGGTTGGTGGTATGTGGTCGGGGCCGGGTGGGAGAGGTATATGGACATCTCCTTGCGGGAGTTGGGGTTGGTGATGCCGTTGGGGGAGTCGAGAGTTAGGTGGCTGAGTTGGTTGTCGAGGGACTTGGTAGAGGTGGTGGGAGTGGTTCGTCGGGAGGGAGGTGTGAAGCTCCGCATTGTGGGCTTTGCGTCAAGGTAGCTGTAGCCGCGGTCCATGCGGATGTCGAAGATCTTGACAAGGGCTTCGCCGCCGGAGCCGACTACGAAGCGGTGGTGGGTGAAGGGTTGGATGCAGTAGATCGGGTTGTCGTCGGTGGGGTCGCGGTAGGTCAGCTCGTGCTCTTTGTTGGACCGCAGGTCGTGGAGTCTGGATCAAGGAGTTAATGGTTGGGGGGTATGTGTTTGAAGGGGAATGTGTGCTTACCTGACGGCTCGATCGCCCCATCCGGCGAGAAAGACCTGTCCGGTGGTGCTTAAAGGTGCGATGGCGTTGACGTCTGACTTGATCGCCGTAGAGGAATCGAGTCTGTCATAGTCGACCAGGTTCAGGCTGATTTGTCGGTCGAGCGATACACGCTCACTGGTGATAGAGGAGATTGTGATTGCATCGTCGATGCGCCCTGTTCCGATGGCAAGAAGATCAGATGAGAGGAATTTGGAGTATCGATTACGAGCTCTCTTCGCCGGGTCAATCTGAAGACGCGCAAATTCCGAGACTCTCGAGCTCGTTGACACCGTGTTGTACAGCGCGATGGTTCCGTTATTCCAGTGCGCTGCGAGTATCGGCTCCTCTCCGTTGCTCAAGTCTGTGCGCTCAATGCCCAAGCCATACGTTTCGAATACTTGCTGGTAACTATGCGAGGGCTCGTCGTTCGTAATCGTGAGATGATGCAGTTCACCCCGAGCGCGAGCGAAGATCAGATGCTCCTTGCCTTCTTCATAGGCCGGATGGTTTGGTTTCAGAAGGTGTAGGCCGCAAATATCGTCTACACTGCTGATATGCTCGAGATCACTGAAGATAATCCACTGCTCATGGGGTTTCGAGCCCGTATGCTTGACTCGTAGGAAGATTTCGTCTGCTGCACCCCAAGCAAGGACTTCTCGGCGGTCATTCCACGCTAAACCGTTCCATGTCTCGTATGTGTCCAGGGCGGGGCGATAGCCAAGCGTAGGCCTGTCACCCCGGATCGCTTTTTCAGACCCGATTCTGGTTGCCTGGGGCGGAAAGACAAACCTACCTAGAACGGCATGTTTGTCCAAGGCTCGCGAGCGAGACGTGAGCGAGTGAGCTGCTTCCCTCCAGAAATCTGGGACCTTCGAACCGGGGAACTGTTTCTGTACAAAGGCACGAAAGATCCGCCAATTATCAACGGCGATGGTTTCATGCAGACGTCTGCTGGTCCGGGAGAGCTGCACCAATGCATTGACGGTAGGCAAGTGGCATGCAATGAGGTAGAGAATCTCAGCAGGCAGATTTTCTAACATGATGTGGTGTGAAGAAGCCGGAGATTGGTGTTGATACACCAATGCGTTTGGCGGTTCCCAGGCAGATCAGGGCCAGAAATGACGTATGGTGTAATGCAATATTCTTTGCCACGGAGTCAGCTATGCTTGTTGCTGCGCAGTAAGAAGATCATAATACTCACTTCATAGAAGAGACCGAAGTGGTTATTCCTGGTCCTACCGAGTGGATTTGTTATATCCTACCGCGATGGACATGTTGTGGAATGGAAAAAAATATGGGTACCTAGTAAGTAGTAGTCAATCCCTTCACGGGCCTAGAAGGGGATATCTCAAGCCAATGCGCAAATCATTCTGCATGTTGCCAAGCTTGACGAGCTCCAGTCAGAAATGGGAACAAACAACTCGATTTATAACAGCATGTAAGATTGACTCATGAATTGAGTAAAATATACTGTCGCTTGACCTAGAAGAAGAGCACAGAGCCAATAATTCCATCCATGAATAAACATGTGACTCTAGTTATTGGATGACTTATGTCAGCAAGCAGTCATCCACAGGCTCTTATCTACCTATCTTTGGCGACATTGTCTTATCGCAGCACTGCTGCGTCTTTCCCCGCTTAAAGAAGCTTTTTCTGTCTTCAAGTGAGTCATGCTGCACCTGTTTTGGTCTCAGCTTGCTTGCCTGGAAGGATCTTGAAATGGTATACTTCTCGTGCTCTTACTGTACTGTCAAAGGACTATTCAAGGATTAGGCGCAGGGTAGGATTCTTGCGCTTGGTAGCTTCCATACTACTCAGTATACCGGCAAATAGCCGATCTACTTGCGCAAATCTTGTTTGCCGAGGTGCAGTCACAGATTGTCAAAGACCATTACTGGAGGACGCTGCAAACGTCCAGCGCGATCTACACTTGCATCTGAATTCCCACAGCATCATGGCGGTTTCTGCTGTCACTACTGTCGCAGCCCTCACCTGCGTCCTCGTGTTGGCCTACAAACTAATCATATATCCGGCATTCCTATCACCGTTGTCCAAAATCCCCAACGCACATTGGACAGCACCCATATCTCCCGCTTGGATTATCTGGAAAAGATATCGAGCCCTGAACAATCGAACCATCCAGGCAGCTCATGAGAAGCATGGGCCTATTGTGAGACTTGGACCTTCCGAGATCTCAATCAATTGCGTTGATGGCGGCATCAAAAGTGTATACACTGGCGGCTTCGAGAAACATGAATGGTACCCACGTGTATTCGGGTCTTTTGGGTGAGGTCATTACAAGGCCCTCATCATCGTCGAAGTACTAACAGTAGCACCTAGAACCGTAAGCATGTTCACCATGACCGATAACAAGGCACATTCGAGCCGCAAAAGGCTGCTGTCCAACATCTACAGCAAGTCGTTCCTGCAATCATCACCACACATCCACCTGATCTCTGAAACGATCATGCTTGACCGCTTTCTGCCTCTAATCTACAAGGCAGTGTCAGATAATGCCCTGGTGGACATGCACGATCTGAACCAAGGATTGACCATGGACTTCGTATCCTCGTATCTCTACGGGTTGGCCAATGGGTCGAATTTTCTTCAAGATGAGGCCTTCCGCCGCAGGATGCTGCACCTTTACCAATGCAGAAAACCGTTCGAATTTTACCACCAAGAAGTCCCTGACTTGCTGGCATGGACAAAGAAGGTCGGACTCCGTCTCATTCCTAAATGGTGCGATGAGGCCAACGAGGTACTGGACGCATGGGGGCTGGGCTTCTGCGACAAGGCCGACGAATGCATGGCGTCGACCAGGCTGGAAACTGAACCGATGGTATACAAACAGCTCAAGCAAGGTATCCTCAAGCAGCAGAAGGCTACTGGATTGCCAGACGAATATCCCGAGAAACAGAAGTGCGAGATTGCCTGTGAGCTGTACGATCATCTCACAGCTGGCCACGAGACTAGTGCCGTGGCTCTGACCTACCTCTTCTGGGAGCTTTCCAAGCACCCCGAGCTGCAGGAAGAGCTCCGCAAGGAGCTCCTGACTCTTGAGCCAAGACTCACCTATCCCCGGTCTGATTCCTCCCGAGAACTCCCGTCTCCCAAATCGATTGACACATTACCTCTCCTCGAAGCTATCGTTACGGAGACGTTGCGCCTGCATGCGCCGATCCCAGGGATCCAGCCACGCGTGACGCCCTCTCCAAGCTGCACGCTTGCAGGCTACAGCGATATTCCCGCAAACACTCGGGTGAATGCGCAAGCCTATTCGCTGCACCGCAATCCCACGGTCTACCCCGAGCCTGAATCATGGGAACCGAAACGGTGGCTTAAAGACCAAAACTCGGCCGCCGAGCTGGAGGAGCGCAGACGGTGGTTTTGGGCTTTTGGCAGCGGGGGACGGATGTGCGTGGGTAGCAATTTAGCCCTGCAAGGTGAGTCCTTTGTTCTGTAATCTGGGCGGTGCTTGTCTAACGATTTCTCGTCAGAAATGAAACTGGCCGTGGCAGCCATCTACACGAACTTCAAGACCTTTATCGTTGATGACGATGACATTGAGGCGATCGATGCTTACACTGTTAAACCTCGAGGCGAGAAGCTGATCTTGCGGTTCGAAAATGCCTGATAGATCAGATTACTCCAATTGTTTGACCAATTATTCATGGAATATACGCTATGTAACAGTTATTCCGCGTGCCCAGTAACATCACAGTCGGAGTAAAACAACACCACACCATAATTGCACCCGCGTAGTCACCGGTGATCCATCAAAAGTGCAGAAGCCTTTAACCTTGTACTACAGCGACTCAGCCGCAAGACCCCAACTACGCACTAATCGCTATCACAAAACACTTCAAACGTGTCTTTCGAACCATAAAAAAATAAACTCCAGTTAGCACAATAGAATACAGTATGTTCAATCCCCGGCCGCGGCCGCCAGCTGCAAGCCCATATGCCCTGATTCAGCCCGACCAGTCCTATGCACCCGAACCAGCACCGGAGCTCGGTGATCCTGCCCTGACCTACATCCATCCACCTGCATCCCAGCACAACAGAACGTATGTAGCCATAAGCAGCCCGAACCTGGGCCGCCCCGACCCCTTCCCAACCACAGCAGGACCTTTAATGCTCAGCTTGAACTTCGCTCCCAAACACATTGAAAGAACCCAAAAAACAAGAGCGGAAAGCTGCTTAGCCCAAAACACCATCCTTCTTCTGCGGTCCACGGACGTTGGGGAACATTCTCATGAGGTGGTAGTTGATGGTGCTGCGGCCCTGGCGTTTGGGTTTCTGTGGTTTTGTGCGAATACAGCGTTAGCCCAGCCCTCTCTCATCCTGATAAATGAGAGGCAGTATTTGATGACGGGGGATGGAGGGAAATGCGAAGGGGCTGAAACAAGACCCTCGGGAAAAAAAGACAAGGGAAAACGTACAGGAGCATCCATGCACTGTCTCAATTGCTGTTCCAAGGCTGCGCAACCCTCAACGGAACCACCGGCCGAAGCCCAGCAACCTGATCGAATGGGAATGTTAGCTCAGATGGGTTTTCTTGAAGGTGGGGGAGGGCCGGAGTCTGTTTGTCTGGTCATAGCGAATCTCGAAGGCTTGGAGATGATGAGGGCCCCGAAGACTCGGTCGGGCTCAGGCCAGATCTGCGAGAACTTTTTCCTAGGTGATGGATAAGGAGGAAGACGTACTCAGCATCGCGGACATGACATTGACACAGCCGTTGGGCTCATTCTTGTTGGGTCTCCGGACGCGCAGGTGGTTGATGGTCTGGAGACGGATGGGGGTGAGGCGGGTGGAGGCAGGCATGGTGGGCGATTCTTTTGAATGTGCGTAAGACGCTCGAGACGAAGCGGTGTTATCAGAAGAAGAGCGAAAGTAGGAATCGTTGTTGCGACAAGCTCAATGCCAAAGTCGAATATGCTACCGGGTCGAAAAGGGAAGGGCAATCAATCTTGCCAAGACTTTTGGACAATTTTGCCCGCGGAGGTTTGCAATGCATGGAGACGCGCTGACATAATCCCGCCGGCGGCAGCGGCGTTCGCTGGCTGATAAGAAGCTAGGTGCGATGCTTGCGGATGCAACATCCAACGCTCAGCATTGTAAGATCGCTAACACGAACAAGGATGAGCAAAAGGCATGCGTGCACCTTATACGTGAATACTCTTGTTGCGCCGTGGACGACGCGCCACATTCAGCCCTCCCCTTCGACGTTTCGATGTCTTTCCGGCAGCAGTGCGCGGGGGCGGCAAGATGCGGCAACCGCGAAACAGAGCGATGACCGCAGCAGCAGCAATAGCAGCGAACCCCAGAACGAGAAGTCCCCGGAGCAAGGGGCCATGGCTCGTCGACTGTCCGAGATGACCGAGGAAGCTATGCTCGAAGGCGGTCGATCCGCACGCAAGAATCTCGAGTCGGCCGGGTTTTCGGAGGAGCTGAAGAAACAGCTGGAGGAACGGGTGGCGGCGGCGGCTTTCCAGAGCGAGTACGCGAGTGCGCATGCTACAGTCAACACGCCGGTATAGTTTTGCATCCTGTTTTGTAACTATACAGCTTAACGGGGATCGTGAAGTGTTCTACTGCTAATACGAAGAATTGTTATCGCTGTACAGGCTAGCGCTGGACAAGGCACACGAGACATCGCCGGTGGCGAGCCCTGGACCGGCACGGAAAACCTCCACGACGTCACCCTACGCATGCTGGATAGCTCGATCAAACCGATGCGCACGCCCTTCAAGATCCCCAACCCCGTCGACATGCGGATAAAGCCCAAGCCCAACGAGTCGGCCGGCTTGCGGCTCGCCAGGGCGAAGGAGCGCACGGCAACATACACTCAGGCGCAAAGCTCGGGGCCGTCGGAGGAAGAGCGCGAGGCGATGCGTCGGGAGATGAGGGAGCGGTTTTCGCCCGGGGCCAGGCCGATGCCGGCCACGTTGCAAGGACTGACGGCGTTGGCGAATGAGCGGATCGAGGATGCGATCGCGCGCGGGCAATTCAACAAGATCAAAAGGGGCAAAGGGGTGAACGTGACTACTGATCATAATGCGAATAGTCCCTTTATCGACACGACGGAGTACTTCATGAACAAGATCATCCAGAAACAGGAGATCGTGCCGCCTTGGATTGAAAAGCAACAGGATCTGGTGAGGGAGGTCGATCGGTTCCGGTCCCGGCTGAGGGCTGAGTGGCGACGGCACGCTGCCCGACTGATTGCCAGTGAGGGAGGGTCGCTGGAGGCGCAGATGCGTCGGGCGCAGGCGTATGCCGCGGCGGAGGCTCGCTTGGCCGAACGGGCCAAGATCGAGCAAGCTTTTAGAGACCCCAGCAGCAGCAGCAGCGGGAGTAGCGGTGAAGAGCAGGACTCTTCCGATGCGAGTACGACCGAAGCACTAGCCGACGAGATTCCAGAGAAGGAGCCGTTGCCGCATGTCTCGCCTCTGCGTGACCCGCAGTATCTCAATACCGAGCGCTCGTTCCTGGAACTCATGGTTAAGAATCTGAATGCGCAAACACGGTCCTACAATTTAATGGCTCCACCGGTGGCGCAAAAGCCGTATCTCAACCTCGAGCGGGAGCTGAACGCTTGTTATACTGAAGTAGCTCCTGGTCTGGCGGAGGAGATCAAACGACGAGCAATTGAGCGGGCTCGAGGACCGGCTACGGACGAGCCCAAAGCGGCTAGCATCCTAGAGTCTCTGAGTACCTCGAATACGGTGCGGGTGTACGAAGAGGATCACTCGAAGGGCTATGGATTTAAGCAGTTCTGGCGGGACCTCTTTGCCAAGAAAGAATAGACCAGTGTATATGTATATGTGTAATGAATCTGTACCATATTGGATCCACCCATGTCTATACAAGCACAAAGGAGTCTTCTTTTCATCATGAACTACCAAGCTACACTGGCTCCAAAGTCCATGTCCATAGTAAATGAAGACAGCCTATAATCAAATTTCACATACCACAACGACGGCATTGACAAACCAACAAGCAGAATATATGCAAATTTATCTTGTACAATTATAGCTCCAACCATATCTCATACATGCTGAGCAAACCCAAAAAAGGAGGATCAAGCAAACTTATCATGCTTGCCCCTCACCCTCACATCCAGCACCACCTCATGGAAGTCGCCCTCCCTCCTCGCCTTCCGCAGCCTCCGCACCTCATCCTCCTCCAGCCGCCTCCCCACAATCCCCTCCAACTCCTTCCGACTGACCTTCTCCCGCGCCTTGACCTCCTTGCTCGCCTTGATCTTGGGCTTGAACCGGGCCTGCATCCGTACCCGGACGTTGGTATCCGCCGACAGCGTCCCAGTATCCCCGCGCACCTCGAGCTTCACCCCGGACGCCGTCGTCTTCGAGGCTACCTCCGCCACACTGATGAAGGTGCTCTCCTCGGACTCGCTGGTACCCGTCTGAATGGAGAACGTGCGCGGCACCGCGGCGGAATGGACATTGAAGGTTTCGTAATGGGACACGGCGGAGGAGGTTGCGCTCAGGATACCGTGTTTGTCGCTCGACAGATACCTATTTTTTGGGGGAACGATCACACATCACATTAGCACAATCTATATCTCAAACATCCCAGCTCCGCAGACCTCCCTCCCCCACCCGCTTTGAACCAACCCCGCCACACATAGCAGCAGGGCGAACTCATATGACCCAGAAGGAAAAAAAAAACATACCGCCCATGCGACCCCTTAAAACTCCACCCCTCCACGCCCGCCACTTTCGTCGCCACCCACACCTGCCTCACATCGTGCGGTTCCGCCGTACCGGGGTCCCCGTCTATGAGATTCTCGAGCTCCGAGGCGAACACGTTCCCGTGCGCGTCGCTGGCGATGCAGGTCGGCGGTTGGCTGGCGAGGACGAGGAGGATCGGGCCGGCGATGTCGGAGGGCACGTCGGCGGAGACCCACGATTGGTCTTCGGGGTTCTCGTCCTCGTCGTGGTCGGCGGCCACCACCACATCATTGGCGCCGGAGTATTCGGATGCTGGGTGTGTCGAAGAGGGCTTTTTGGCGGTGCTGCTCGGGAGGGAGGGGTCGGCTTTGCGCTTCTTGGATTTGTGGGGCTTGTCGCCTTTGAAGGTTAGGGGTTTGACCATTTTTTCGAGGTATTGGGACAAAGGAGGGGTATGTTTGAGAGGGGCGAGTGTGGAAATTGGAAAGGGAAATTGGAGGCTTGAGCTGGGTTAGAAAGTGAGAAGAAAGATGCAGTGCATGCGGGAGAGCGAGAGAAAGAGAGAAAGTGACGGGTTGGAGTTGCTTATCGATAAGGGAGGTGGATCCACTTGAGCTGTGCTTGACGGGTTTAGAGACGAGTTACACTCGTTTGGATGGACAAATGCTAGTCGATGCAAAAAGAGTAAGCTATGTAAATTAGTTGATTTGGCATAATACTGAACTAGGAAGTTCAATGACTGACCGTGGACAGGTCGTAATTGAGGTCACTGTGATGCAGTCAGGGAAAGGACCTTGGTGACGCCGACCCACCAGCTACTCCTCTATAAATACTACAACACCTTCCCACAGTATCCAAAAATCATCACAGCCTACTGGATCCGTTGTCGACGAGCACACGAGTGTATCATACATATTCATTCGTTAATCATTACTTAGAAGCACAGCCAGCTATGCTAATCTAATCAAAAGTGATAGCCGCCTTGATGGCAGACTTGTTCTTCATGCTCTCCAAGCACTGCTCCCACTCCTCGATCTTGAACACCTTGTTGACAATGCCCTTGACCTTGACCTTGCCAGAATCCAAGTAGTCAATGGCAGCAGGGAACTTGTACACCTCAGAGAAACTACCCAGGATGGTGATCTCGTCGCCGACTATATGAAGCATTAGCACCTGCACTCACTGGAGACAAGACAGGCAAAAAGACTTACAGATCTTGCTAGGAGGCCAAGAAACACGGTCCTTGTTGGAGTACACGCCATACACGACGAGCTTACCACCGCGGCGGACATAGTTGATCGAGTCTTCCAGAATCTTGACGCTACCGGTAGCCTCAACGACAATGTCGAAGCCATAGGGGTTCTCGTCCTTGAGCTTCTGGAACTGGGCGCTGGGGTCGCTGCGGGACAGAGCAATGTACTCATCACCAGCCTCGAGCGACTTGGCCAGATCCATCTTGAGACCCTCAGGGGCAGCAACAACGACACGGCAGCCACCGCATTGACGGAGCAACTGAGCCAGAATCTGAAAGGGGTCAGCCAGATTCGAAATGGACACTTGGGTGCGAGCCACCTACCAGACCAGTGGGGCCAGCACCGAACAGGAGAACGGATGAGCCCATCTTCGGGGCGATCTTGTCGAGACCGTGCGCGGCGCAGGAAGCGGGCTCCAGGAGAGTGGCGTCGACGTCCGAGAGGTTCTTGATCTTGAACACCCTGCCAGCTACGCTGTGTTAGCCAATGCCGTGGTACCAGAAAACTGGACGAGCATACCAGGGTAGGCGCAGTACTCAGCAAAGCCACCGTTCATGGTGACGCCGTGAGCCTGGAAGTTCTCACAGAACAGCTCGTCTCCCCGACGGCAGTAGAAGCACTCGCCGCAAAGCTCAGAGTTGTCGGCCACCACACGCTCACCAATCTCGAAGCCCTTGACCTTGGAGCCGACAGCGGCCACAACACCCACCGTCTCGTGGCCGGGGACGAGAGGGAACTTGGCAATGAATTCACCCTCGTGGATGTGCAAGTCGGTACCGCAGACACCGCAGGCCTTGACCTTGATCTGTTGCGTGTCAGTAGAGGTCTGACACCCTCAATGTCTGTGAGGCTTACCAAGATATCGTTGTCACGAATAGTGGGCAGGGGGACCTCGGCGATGCCGTGCTTCAGGGGCTCCTCATAGCTAGGATCGGATCAGCATTGGTTGAAAGGACAGTCAACAAAGGAGAGCCGTTCAGGACCTACCGGAGGGCCTTCATGGTCTTGGGGAGGTTAGCAGCCATGTTGATCGATGTGAGATAAGCTGTCGAGATGTTAGTCAAGTTGGCCAGGCTGACCGATCATTGGCAGGACAAGAAGTGACCTACAGTATGAAGAAAGGGTATAGAAGGAAAGAGGGAGCGATCAGGTGTGTATCTGTGAAGATGGATGTTGGAGACAGGAAGAAAAGATGAGATGAAGAATGAGCCATAATCGAAGGGAAAGTTGAGGCTATTTGAATACAGGCGAAAAGTCAATAGAGGGTTGAGGGGCCGAAGACTGGGGATGGGAAATGAAGTCAGAGCAGGGACAAGGAGTATAGAGAGTGGGGACAGGAGACTGCCAGTGCATTGCCCCGTTGAATCCAAGACAGACTGTCTGTTTGTCTGTACTGTACGGACGGCTGGTGGTTTCTTTCATCCCGGTCTCATGCATGGGCTGACAGGGTGTGTGTGAGGTCTGGTAGGTTGAGACCAATCGAGAGAACAGCAGTACGGGCAAAATGCCTAATCCCTGACCCCAGAAAAGCTACAGCACATCGGCCCAGCATGACTGTGCATTTTGACAATCAAACTGGCAGTTTGGCATACAAACAAATTGATCGAGAGACATACAAACTCCCAGACACTACTGTTACTGTGTACTGTGTATACAGTACCTCTCGGTACCCGGCAGGACTAATTTCGGAACAGTGACGGCCAGGTCTCGGGAAAGTACACAGTACTTCGGGATTCTGGTAGCATGACTTAATCCCGTGCCGAGACTCAACACTAAACCCAACTCATCCCAAGTCTCTCAACTTAACCCAACTTAAAGAACTTCCCCCCCCCACCAAGTGACTTCATGGCTTCACTTTCAACCCCACTTTCTCTAGCCCTGCCTTGTTTGACTGGCTTCTTCTACTTTCCTCCATGCTCTCCGCGTCGTCTAATTCCTTCGTTCCTGTTCCTGTCTCCAGATCCCATCTGTCCCTAGATCTCCCAAGCAGGAGGCTGATCACGACACTCAGTCGGCGAGTACTGCACACACGATCCCGATGATTCCATTCGACTCTTTCACTTTACAATCCCCATTTCTCGGAAAGAAAGAACAGATGAGCCGATAATTGAGCGGAGGGTTGTTCCCCGACAAAGGAGAAGTCGGGGAAGCCAAACCAACTCGTCCGGAGGGATCTAGATGCTTCCAAAGCAACACTCACCGCTGCTCCACCACAACCGCACTAGTCAGTGGTAAACCAACGGGTCCACGTCTCAGACACTGGCTCTCAGTCTGATTTAGACATTGACTGATGGGAGATGCGACACAAGAGCATGGGGGCCATCCACCCACCCTTCGGAGAGATGCATGCACTACGGACGTGTGTGTACGTATGCACCCACGGTTCAAGCCTGCTGCCTGCCCGTGTCGTCCGACTCGGGTACAGAGCACGCCCAGTTGACAAGACAAACGAGGCTAAGAGAAGAACAAAGGAGCCACTGAGAGTCCTTTCCGCACGACAGGATGTAAGGCTGCCTGGCAAATCAACATATGAGACGGACGATGTCCAGTCAATCAATGCACTAAGATACAATCAACAACAGCCAATCAGCAAACCGGATACTCTTCGCGGATAACTTCATCATACACTCAAGCCGCGGGCTGTGTTTATCATAACTACCAAATATGTGAGAGCATCGGTACATAGGATGGTCACATGATTCCAAGGAACACCTCTCCCGGAAGCTTACCGTCACGAAGCTTGTTGAAGCATCAACGCCATGTGACCCTCTAAAAATGGCTTCTCTTCCGTGCGCATCAATCCTTCTCTTGATCTCGGTGGAAGCACAATATGCCAATATGGTCGTATTCATCTCCTGCACTGCAGACTAGCCCAATGATAATCCACCATGGGGTCTTTCATGCGCAAGGGGACCAGCAGCAAGCCTGCAAGAGTGCATTAGGGGACATTCCATGAAGCCAGCCCCCTTCACTTATAAGTTTAGCAGGGAGCTCTTCCCTCCTGACCTTTCCTCTCCTTTCAGCGGTCAGTATGAGTCTGGACAGTCTTCCTCCCGAGCTTATTTTGTATCTGGGGAATTTTCTCGGCCCCAAATCTCTCGCCGCGTTGACCAGCTCCGCAAAGAGGTTTGCACTGCTGTTGTACCCGCAGCTTTATACCGAATGGATCCAACTCTATTGTGCCAACCCTGTCACCTACCGCTCTTCCTGGAGTAGCATCAAGACCTGGACATCGCAGTATGCAGTTGATTACTTTACTCGGGTCCCAACCCATACTTTTCTGGGCCAAGATTGCTCTACGCTGGTACACCACTTTGCAGGGGCAGGTAATTTGCACCTGCTTGACATCATTATTCGCCAAGGGGCGGACGTCAACGCAAAGAACGAGGATGGAGTCATTCCTCTGCATCTAGCGGCGTATCAGGGCCACCTTGATGTAGTTCAAGCTTTATCAGACCTTGGGGCAGATATCAATGCAGTCGATCGATACTGTCAGACACCATTGCATATGGCGGTCCGTGGGGGTCATCTAGACGTAACGGGGCACTTGCTCAAGCTGGGTGCGGACGTTTTCACAAGTCACGCTGATGGGGCGTCTCCATTTGAAATGGTCGTCATTCACGGCCTGACAGACTTTTCAAGGATTTTCATCTCTAGTATCACCCGCGCTAAGGGCGACATCAACACGCCCGGCGCGCAGGGCTATACCGTGTTGCACTTAGCCTCTTGGCAGGGATACATCCCCATCGTGGAGTACTTGCTTGCTCACCATGCCGACCCTTTCGGGAGGACCTCCACCGGCGATACAGCTTTGAACCTGGCTTGTAAACAAGGGCATACGGAAGTTGTGAAGCTTCTCTTAGAGGCGGGGGCAGAATCGCGCAGTCACATCCTCGCCCCTAATCTCCGGGGCGTCACTCCATTCCACAGCGCCGTTGCCTGCGGGTGTATATCGTTGATTGAGCTACTTCTCGACTCCGATAGCGATCTTCTGGCCGTGGATGTCTATGGCAAAAGTGCCATCGACCGAGCACTAGACGGCCCGGAGGACGTGTTTCAATTGCTTCTCCGTCGAGGCCCGGCGTTCTGGCCGGAGCATCGCTTGCAGCCCCGACTGTCCCTGGATTCACTCTGGTCGCGGCTCTCGACCGAGTTTGGATGGCAAGCAGTCACTCGGATCATAGAACTGGTCAGCACCGGCAGAGCTGCGGTGGATCTATCCGCCCCCTTTGACTCGGAGCGCACAATCCTCCACATCGCATCCAATGGGGCATATATGCATCGT